AACAGTCGTTTAGGCTGTACAGGGGATCTTTGCCTTTACGTGTGCCACCTGGGCTGGTTGAAGGTATAATAAAAGGTGTCAATATGTTGGATCACGGTCATTCGGAACCTTGATGTGTTTTTTTTTTACGCGTGGAATAAATGTGGTTTACTATGAGTATATATACATTACCGATAATTACTATCATTACAGATGAATGGCTTCGTTTGAGTTGAAGTAACACAAGTTGCCTTATTCCGACCTTTAAATTACAATCATTGCAAATCTCCGTGTGCGGCACCTCATCAAAGGAAGCCGTGGTTTGCTTATGGCGCTTAAAACCACAGGTGAGAAATTTAACTTAATCTTCAAACGCAACTCTCTTCAAAAGGTGCTACAATTTCGGCGACACACTGACCGCCCAGGCTGCCCATCCATCCACGGCCTGCGCGCAATGGAAGTGAATTGAGAGAGAGAGAGAGGAGAGCTAAGATACGGTGTTTCCGAACTTCGCTTTTATGGACAACTTTTCAGTGAACGCATTTTGTTCCGTATATCGAAGATGCCCGTACGACAATATCAAACTGTAGACGCCGTTCCAGAAGCTTCCCAAGGTGCTTGGGGCAGTCATAAAATTTAACCTTTTACAAATAGGGCCCCCTACCTTAATAATAATACATGGGTTGTATTTTCTGTGGTATATCGATACAAATACCAATTTTCAGAGTCTCAATGGGGGGGGGGAGGAAATCATCACTCCCCGACCTTTGGATCCACTTCTGAAATGGAAGTTCTGTTGGCCTTCCACTGACCCTGAACTTAATTTGAAGGTTAATAATTTCAAGGTAGTCTCATAGACAAGGGTTGGGGAAACAAAACAACGGCTGCAGGAGATATGAAATGTTTGTTTTCCATCTTCCTAAGCAAATACTGGTCTACGGAAAACGTACCAAAAAATGTCAAATTCACCGCTTGCGAATGCTAACATTCTTCCATGTAGGAACAAGCAATGTTCAATGTATAAGCAACCACCATGCAAATACGTGATCAGGTAAAAGTACATTTATTACAGTTCGCATATTGAACAGAAATTATACCAAAACAGAGGGAGGGCATACAATAATTAAACTAATTATTCAATGGAGCACTCAACAGATTATCTGAATGTCATTATAGTGCGGGGGCGATTAGGCGGCTGGGAGCAGAGATCCTTTTATATTACAGGTGTGCACCATAATGGCTGGGTAATTGTCAATCACATCATCTGCTCATTGAGGTTGGCCATAATATTTACTGTAATAATTAAATGGTTCTCGCCATTTTACTATTGCCACGCTGCTTGTAAGGCTCACACCACAGCGCCGTCCGTGTACGATGCATTTCGAGCGGGGGAGGCGATGGTGACGACATCAGCCACCACCCTTCAGCAGATGCCACCGGAGGCGATTCGAAGACCATTATGAGCAATCCGATCGCCGTCCTCGAACAACGCTTGCAAGGTGAGCTCTGCTGAAAAGCAGCAGCAGCAGCAGCCGCAGTTGTTAAAGCAATGAAGCTGCGGTTAAACGGACGGATGACAAATAGCGTGCCTGTGCTCGAGTGCGGACGGACGCTGCCACAGCGGTGTAGCAGTTCGCACGATGGACGTGCAATCCCGAGGTCGCCCGTTCAATTCAACCTCCCGGTGCGACAGTTGTGAAACAAGGTGAATGTTTCTTAACACCCCCCCCCCCCCCTCCCCGTTCGACTAACTGGCGATCGACTAACGGTTAGTGGATCGCCAGGTAGGTCGTGTGCGGTGGGGTAAAGTGTGGGTAACTTGGCCAGCATGGGAGAGGCACAAATACCCTCCACTCCGGTGGAGGTCCATCCACAAGCAGCGGCATAAGCAAAGCATTTGCAGGGCTGCGCCTTTACCTGTACAGTCGTATCGAGTACATGTCGGGCCCTTTTGTCAATAATTCCCAAGCTTGTTCACGTAAACTATAAATCATGAGCTGGCAATTGACTCCGCATGCATTGTAATAGGTGAAGCGGACAAGTTGCTGTCTGGAAAAAAAAAACATTCAGTCATACAGATAATTATCCACATATCACGTCGATCCTTGCGGAATGTTCATTTCTCACGATTGAGAGACACGTACAAGACTGGTTGCAAAGCTTCCCCTATTGGCAGCAAAAGTTCTGCAACGAACAGCGGCACACCACCAATGTGCCTTGAGGAGGAAGGATAGTTTTGAATCAGTGCACGGGTGAGGGTGAAGAGCATGACCGCTGACCATGAACACTGAACAAAAGTTGGCATTACACTGAGAAACAGAAGGGTCAGGTGAGCGATGCACATCAAAGACATCATATCGATTGGTTAAAAGTAGCTGGGATTGGGCATGACTCATCACACGGTAAGGGATGATGGCCGATGGGCAAGACTGGAGGCAGAATGAACGCCAAAGGAGCGAACGGACGCCCCGAGAGGATGGGATGAGAGCCACCGCGGAGAGTTGCAGCAATGAGATAATTTCATGTGCACGAGGTCACATGGTATCACCGAGCTGTGAGGGATGGGGAGACCGTCTAGCAGTGGCTGGACCATAGCAGCTGCTGCTGATGATGATGACCACACCACTGTTGAAGTCTTAAAGAGGACATAGAGGCGTGATATTTCACGGCGGGGCGATGATGTGTGCCTGCCACTGTGCGGCAGCTGATATTGTAACCCTCCCCTGGCATCATGCGATGAGCACTGCGTGAGTTTGGCCTTCATTTTAATTATTTACATTTCGCACCACCGTTCACGTGAGCACGGAGAAATCTTTAAACAAAGTATTTGGTCAAAGCGTTTCAATATTTACGAGGGGGAAAAAAATCGGACGCATATGGAATGTTAAATCATTCATGCAAAAAATAATACTTATTCATAATAAAGGTTTTTGGGTTAGATCGCGTTTATTTATAAATGTGTCGTAACCCTCCACCACCCGACACGGCCAATCAGCAAAGAAAAGTGTCACGTTGACAAAAGACAAATAATTCACTACTTCAGCCCACCGGTGTGTTGAAGAGTTAATCCACATTTACAGTTTGAGTACGACGTTTCGCTGGTAAATACTTCCAGCATCATCGGGCAATTCGCCAGAATGGTAAAGCCCTCGCTTGCTCCCGGTTTTATATAGAGCAGAAGAGTGACGTCATCACTTAACTCATCAGGTGCAGTGATTAGAGGCGGAGGGGGGGGTAATGTAATTATATAATCGATTAGTAATCAGTCATTGGTTATGATTAGTAATGAGTTGTAGATTAGTAATTCTTTAAATCAAAATGTAATGTGTATTATTTAATAATACGCTTCCAGGCCGCACTGAGCCGGTAGCTGTCAGAGCGATTAAAGTTATTCTTGTTCCTCTCAATTTCAATGGATTCTCTAATTAGTCTTTGCCAGTAATAATTAAATTAGTAAAGAATACCAGTTTACAAAAAGATATTCCGAAACTTGCTGGCCATTGCTTAAATAACACTTACTTCTTATGGAGAGGGGATTTCTTTAAACAAAAGGAAGGAGCAGCAATGGGTTCTCCTTTATCCCCTGCTATAGCAAATTTGTACATGGAAAACTTTGAAATAAGAGCACTTGCCTCGAGCACATTAAAACCATCCTTTTGGTTTAGGTATGTGGATGACACTTTGGTTGTCTGGCCACATGGTAAAGATACACTTAATGATTTTCTAAATCATCTCAATGCACAAAACCCGGCCATCCAGTTCACCATGGAAATGGAGGTGAATAATACACTCCCATTCCTAGATATTTTGCTTGGACATGGCCTAAACGGTAAAATAACACACAGCGTTTACAGAAAGCAAACGCACACTGATGCCTATCTGAATGCAGAATCACATCATCATCCAGCTCAAAAATCCTCTCTTATTAAGACGCTCGTGCATCGGGCGAAAACAGTGTCAGATGGTGAGAGTCTAGTGAGAGAGATTAAACACGTTAAAGACGCACTACGACAGAATGGCTACAATAATGCTCAAATTAACAGAGCACTGAATGCCAAATCACGATCGCAAAGCAATACTACTGAAAGCGACCAGATTGTTAAAACAATAAAAATTCCATATATCTCAGGAGTAACTGACAAATTAGCCCGCGTTTTGCAAAAGCAAAACATTACAGTAAGATTTGGTACAGTACACAAAATTCAAAAACTAGTATCTTGCACTAAAGACGCATTACCTAAACTATCAACAGAAGGTGTATATCGGATTAATTGTTCATGTGGCAGCTGCTACATTGGGCAGACGGGACGTAACATCAGCGTAAGACTAAAAGAACATCAGAGAAATATTAAATTATCTCAAACACAACTGTCGGCAGTGGCAGAACATGCTTGTCAACAAGGACACTCAATTGATTTTGACAATGTTGCAGTGGTGTGTAAAACTAATTATTACTGGCAAAGACTAATTAGAGAATCCATTGAAATTGAGAGGAACAAGAATAACTTTAATCGCTCTGACAGCTACCGGCTCAGTGCGGCCTGGAAGCGTATTATTAAATAATACACATTACATTTTGATTTAAAGAATTACTAATCTACAACTCATTACTAATCATAACCAATGACTGATTACTAATCGATTATATAATTACATTACCCCCCCCTCCGCCTCTAATCACTGCACCTGATGAGTTAAGTGATGACGTCACTCTTCTGCTCTATATAAAACCGGGAGCAAGCGAGGGCTTTACCATTCTGGCGAATTGCCCGATGATGCTGGAAGTATTTACCAGCGAAACGTCGTACTCAAACTGTAAATGTGGATTAACTCTTCAACACACCGGTGGGCTGAAGTAGTGAATTATTTGTCTTTTGTCAACGTGACACTTTTCTTTGCTGATTGGCCGTGTCGGGTGGTGGAGGGTTACGACACATTTATAAATAAACGCGATCTAACCCAAAAACCTTTATTATGAATAATATTGGTCGCGAAAGCCTACGTGTTAAACCCAATAATACTTATATTGGGGGGAAAAAAACGTGAGGATTTTCCATCATTACAAATGAGCAGATCTTCCCATCATTGTTATGCGACCGTTGATTTAACGTTCCGATAGAAATAACCCCGCGACCCACGTCGGTAAAATTGCCACGATACCAGAAAAAGAGATGGCATGCGATGGCGACAGAACAGATGACTGGCGTGCGATTAGAAATCACACGCTACAGTGTGGAGGCCTTGCAAACACTGCTGGCTTTTCGAGGCACCACACCGAAATGTTTGATCTCCAGCTGAAGGTCAGTTCCCTCTTCTGCCCTCGAGAGGGGTCATAACCCAAAAAACACGAGCCTGTTTTATGTTTTATCCTGTCACACAAGGCAATGTTATGCGTACGAGAGGACGTTCACCGCGGAGACGGAATGACGAAATCTGCTCGTGCGCGGGTGCCCGAGTGTTGTACGACACCCTAGGATCGTGGGAGGGTGGTGGCCTTAATCCAGCCATGAATCGGCCGTGGCCGATGACGAGGGCAGCGTTAAATAAGTCAGCTCCCGTCCCGTGCTTGTACACAAGCGCTTACGCGGACGCAACCGCGTCGTCCGGCAGTTCCGTGCTGCTGGCATGGGAGCTCAACGCTTGGTGATTCGGACTCCGATGGCCAGGCTGTGCTCGGCGGTGAACACGCACGCCAAGCTGGCGCCGAAGGCCAGGCAGCCGCCGCCTTTGGCGAGCGCGGGCGACGCGCTGCCGTCCCACACCGAGCGCACCGGCGCCTCCCAGCAGAGCCGCCGCCTCCGCGCCCCCTCCGCCTTCAGCTCGAGCCGGTAGCTGAAGGCCTCGGCTTGCTCGGGGCTGCCGATCAGCGCCACGGCGGCCAGGAAGTGCTGCTGGCACGGGGCGTGGCCGTACCCGCCGGGCCCCAGCGACACGCCGCTGCAGTCCCGCGGGGCGTCCCCCGCGCGGGGTGGCGCGGACGGCATGCCCGTCCGGTCGCCAGAGGCCGGCGCTCCGTGCGGCCTGGGAGCTGGGCCGACCTGCCCGCCGTCCCGCCCGCCGTCCCGCCGGACCCCGGGATGGGCGACGTCCCTCCCGTCGGGCGGTGGGAAGGGGCCGACTTCCGGGCGTCCGGGGGGGGCGGCCGCTTCCTGCCACGACGACGTCCGGCCCTGGGGCCGGACGAATCCCCGTCCCCTCGGAGAGGCCACTCCCCGTCGTCGTAGGGGATGCCCGGGGGCCGGGGCGGGACGTGCGTGGCCGCGCGGCCGTTCGTCCGCCTTCTCCCTCGGGTCCTTGCCCGGTTCGCTCCTCAACTCGGCTTGCGCTCCCCACGCCGGCTCCTTCTCCAGCACCAGGAGGAACACCTGCCCCAGGCAGGACTGCATCATCGCCCAGCTGGCACTGCCAGGCAGGTCCACGCCGCTTGCCAGGAACACGATGTCTTCCCCCTGGTCGAGAAGATACAGGTGAAGAGGCGTTTCCCAGTGCGCAACGTGGGCAAGTGAAAGGCGTCAAGTGAGACCCGCGTAGCTTCTCGTGGCTGTTCCGCGTCGCTCTGCGGTGAGTTTTTTGGTCGTTCCGCTCTCATGACTGGCCGTAGAATTGTCCGGATATTAAAATCACTGCGGTTGGAGTCACCGTAAATTTTTATTTTATTTTATTATGTTTTTATTATTTTATTATTTCCCTTCAACGTGACTTTACCGAAAGAACCAAGAATATGTAGCCATATTTGTTACGATATTGGGCCTAAGTCCCAAGCGCCAGAGTGAATGTTGTTAACTGCACATGATGCGGAATGTGACAAGGAGTACGGAGCTCCCCGCGATGTCTACAGAATATTTTCGTATCACCTCAAAATAGCAACACACGCCATTCTCCGCAACGGTTGCTGCACATTGTACACTTTCCTGATTGCAGAATTCTGCGACAAATTGAGCCCAATTTCATGGCAAGCGTGATAGAGAACATTTGCCAAGATACTGTGCTGTACATTCCCAACGTTTGTAACTTCCGAGGTGGTCTATTCGTGTATATCCATGCGCAAAATACAAAGAACCCCCCATATAGATACGTACACTATCGGTGTGTTTTAGTGAGCACCTATTAAAGCTGGCAGGCACATGATGAGGAAGTGTGGCCAGCTCCATGCCTAACCACCTTTATCTTCCCATTGCCGATATTTACATGCCACACCAGGCAACAATTTAAGGCGGAGTTGACCTCGAAATAACCCAAGCCAGGTTCAGATTTCAAACACCGCGGATATTATCCTTGGTGGTGAATCAAACCCAGATTTATGGCATAGTGCAGTACTGTGCCACCGTTCCACGCAAAGACAAAGGTCCCCCACGTAGCCTTTAAAAGACTGCTGGGGGCAAGTTCTGTTTGCGTGCACCTAAATAAGGCCGGCACGGCACACGAGGTGGTAGTGTGGCCAGCACCACGCCTGGTCGCGTTTTTGTTCACATGCATCGCAACCACGTACTCGTTTAATGCCGAGTCTACCTAAGGGAGACCCTGAACGGGTTCAGATATTCACCACTGATGTTGGCCGTGAGCAGAACTCGAATGTGCTATCCATTGTGCCACCGCTCTCCACAGAAAAAAAAACAAAGATCCCCCGTATAGCCTCAACAGACTTTTGGGGAAAGTGCTGTTAGCGAGCACCTATGAAGGCCGACACGGGACACGAGGGGGTGGGTGGTTAGCACCACGCCCGGCCGCCTTTGTCTCCCAAGTGGCAATGTTTACACACCGCACCAGGTACTCGTTTAAGGCTGAGTCGACCTAGGGGATTCCCAGGACCTGTTCAGATAATCGCCACTGATGACGGCCGCGAGCAGGAATCGAATCCGGATCGCCGGGTTCGTAGCGCAGCGCGCCAACCGCTACACGACCGCCCCGGAACGGGGTTGGAACGCGCTACCCACTGCGCCACCAGTCCCCCACACACCCCCATGCACACACACACATACGCTCAATAACAAGACTCCTATTACTCTTTGTTTTTTTCGGTAAAGTCACGTAGGAATAAGAAATAATAAAATCACATAATAGCATACGACGTTTCGATTGCAACACAAGCAATCATCATCAGGTACAGAAGAGTTTAATTTAAGAGAGAGAGGAAACACATAACCGCAGATATATATATACATACACCTAAGTAGAGGAAATTAACACAGATACACCAGGGGATACAGAGAGAGAGATGGAGGAGCACACTAAATCAAACAGGGTTTAGCAAAATTTGGAAACTATATAAAGCAACACAGACGGTCGGTCAAAAGACAATTAACGCATGGTCTGGTTGATTACGCTATTTCAAAGATTGCTAAATTGTAAGTTAAGTGTGAAATTTAAGAGAGTGATAGAATACAGACCGCACAGAGACATATGGGGAGAGGCACGCACTATTTTGAGACATGGCGACTGCATGTTTCAGATGAAAGTACTGCTCGCTCAACTCGTAAATGCAGCAGCAATCCACTCTCTCTTGATGGGGAAGGCCTCTTCTTCACAGGTACAGCCACTGATAATTTCACACAAAGTGCGACTCAATTTATTGACCCTGAAGGGACAATCGGCTGTGTCGAGCCTGAACTAGGATTTTTGAACTCGCAACCTGCTTTGCGAACCAAGCACTCTGCCACAGGGCCTTGTGGCTGTGTGTGTGTCGTGGAGGTGGTGATGTTAACTACCTCGCCTGTTATACAGGCGGTCGTAGGTTCGATCCTGACCCTGTTCTCCCCGTGGTCGCGTGGATTTTTCTCCAGGTCCTCCGGTTTCCTCCACATTTAGAAACATGCGTTTAAAGTATTCGGCTGCTATGAATTTCCCCACGATAGGCAACTTCGTTGGGCGATCATTCGTGATAGCCAAGATACATCTGAAAAATAGCTACACAGCTCAGTATGCCCTTACCTGCTAAAATAAAAGTAGTCTAATAGTTTGACTGCGTTGTGTGTGCGGTCAGCACACCGAGGCCATCGAGTCGCTGCTACGCTTGAGAAAATGGTTCTACCACAAGCGGCTGAAACCCGGATCCCAACCCAGGACCTCGGCCAGTTCCGCCGCTTTAACGCGACTATTTGGCTCCCTCCGATCCACCCAGCCACCTCGGTAACATCCGGTAGCGACGCTCCGCACAACCCTCCTTGCGCAGGCGAGTGGCGGTAGATGGTAAATACGTCAGGGCACATCCTTCACTCTGTTGGGCGTAAAGTGATGTTGTTCATTTATTTAACAAACGCCTACAACGTTAGACTGCAACTACAATTGCTGATGGCATGTGTCACCCGCCGTGCGAAAACACGTTTCTCCGCTCGCACGCAGGAAATGACATTTAGCCGAGTGACTTGGCAGCGAGCAGCAAATGTTCACCTGTTCCCAATTAACTGCCCCTGGGATCCGCGGTGAGGAAGCACAGCACGTACTGTTGGTAAGGAAAGGCACGGCAGCGTTTTCCACTACACCGGGACCCGCTCTCCCTCGACGCCGCTGTGCAGGTTTTCGCTGTTGTGCTGCTGCACGGCTCTCCGTTGTGTTTTCGGGTCACACCGCATGTTGTTCGGCACGATGTCCGACGTTTCGCTCCCCTGAACAAGCTCCCAGGACGTGCAGCGAAACGTCGGACGATATGTCGAACGGCACGGGGGAAAGGTGGTAACTACGCAGAAACACACTGCGAGGAATTCTTTCCGCGATCGTACGGTCTGCTCACTCTCGCCGTTGTGCCGTCACGGTTTTGTAATCACCTACCAGCAACATCCCCGCCGAAGGCCTCACGGCGAGTTTTGAGGAGCCTCCTTGTCGGTCAATTGCCCTTCGGCAGAACTCCAAATCGACGTCTCGCCAACCCGAACCGAGGATCATCATTATAAACAACGAGCCGCACTTTGCGCGGAACGAGACGAGCGCACAGACTCCCCGCCGCCGCCGCCGCCGCTGCCGCCCGACCTACCTGCAGGGTGCCGATGGTGTCGTGAGCGGCCTGCAGGTGGGCCTTCACGTCCCTGACGGGGCCCCGCCACGGGCACGCGGCCCCGGGGCAGGGGCACGCGCCGGGGCGGAAGTCGCAGCTCTGCTCGTGCGCTCGCCGCTCGGCGTGCGAGGCGGCGCCGTGCGAGCAGCCCGCGGCCGCGTGCCGGCACGGAACGGCGGCCGGCGCCTCGCCGGCTGGACGCTCCCCGGGCCGGGCCCCGCGGCTGGCGCGCAGGGCGCTCGCCAGGAGGCGCGAGAGGCCGGAGGGCCGCGCGGACGGGTCGTCGCTCTGCCGCTCCGGGGCTGGCGGGGAGGGTGGGGGGGGAAAGCACCCGCGTTGTTGTTGTTGGTGACGACGCGGGAAAAATAACGCGCGCTCTCGTTTGTCCAGCAAAGCCCCATCGAGTCGTAGGACTCGCTTCCATGGCAATCGAACGGCGAGTGTTCATACGCGCGGGAGGAAAGCGGACCGCCAGGAGAAAAACCCAGGTGCGCGAGGGTGCAACGCTCTATCTCCGCCGCAACAGATGGAAGCCTATTAGTCCGCTTGCGTTTTTCTGAAGATCAATGGGCACAGGCAGCTCCAGCATGACCTGGTTTCTTTGACAGTGAACATTTCACGTCACTTTCTTGAAATGATGCATAAAGGATAGCTCGTGCACTGTGTGTGTTCTGCAATACAGAGTGGAATTACAAGGAGCCCCTATTTACATGCAAAATTACCAAACATGTCTAAAAAAAAATAAGGTTGTGAATGACAACCATAATTCAAGTATTTACCCACCATGCAAAATTATCAAAACATTGCCTCCGTAGTTCAGTTGTAATTCACAGGGGAATAGTGGCACATTTAGTGAGCACCCTGCACTGTAACCCTCGCGACCTGAGTTTTCTGGCCAGAGGTAACATCAGTGGCGAGTGAAATCTTCACTGTGCCCCACATCCAACCTGCACTGACCAGCATCGGGAAGTATTGTCAAAAAGTCCCCATGACTGATACAACATGGGGAGGCCTTCATCCATCTGTGGACTGACAAAGATCTGTAATTTATTTTTACAATAAATTATTGTAAAATTTAAATCTATGCCTTAATACAAAAATAATAAATACCATTAAACATCCTCTGTTCTGAGCTCATAGCAAAGATGCCTATCACTGGAAAGAAATAATATAAATTATGGTAAATAAACATGGGACCTCCTTTGCCAGTGTCAAAATATAAGAGGTTTTTCCCCTTTTTTCTGGCAACAAAACAGATTTTAAAACACCTAAGTGAAATCATGTCTGCATTAACCACAGATACTTGTGGTGAAAATACAAACATAAAACATGCTCTGACAGAATATGCATTGTCTTTGAAACTGATTGGTCCACACCAGAGACAGCTTTTTTTAGAGCCTCGTCTCACACAGTGTTAGACCAGCGGACGCCAAAAATCCTTTGGCGTCCTCTAAAGAAAGCTGTCTCTGGTGTGGACCAATCAGTTTCAAAGACAATGCATCATACACTGTCAGAGCATGTTTTTTTTGTATTTTCACCACAAGTATATGTGGTTAATGCAGACATGATTCCTTGCACAAGGTTTCAGTTTGGTGATTTAACATCTTAACGCAAACTGTTTTGTTGTCAGAAAAAGGGGAAAACCTATTCTTATGGTAAACTAGCTGTACTACCCGGCTTCGCCCGGGACTTGGATTCACCACGCCCGGCCGCCTTTGTCTCCCCAGTGGCGATGTTCACACACCACAGCAGTTACTCGTTTGAGGCTGAGTCGACCTAGGGGTGGCCCAGGGCCAGTTCAAATAATCGTCACTGGTGGTGGCCGTGAGCGGGAATCGAACTTGGGTCGCCGGGTTCGTAGCACGGCGCGCTAACCACTACACTACAATGCGTTACGCTTCCACATGCGCAGGTCACATGACAGATTTGACGTCACAGCTCACTTGCCATGCAAAAAATCTATGCATTATTGAGCTTCCCCCCCCCCCCCCCCCAAAAAAAGTGTATTTTTATAATTTTTGCATGGTGTACAGTCTGGAAAGTACCCACATGGCAAATTTCCAGTTTGTTACATGTCGGGAAGTACGCTAAGCATTTTGAACAGACACACACAATCACAACTTTGCCTTTTATATATATGGTAAATAATCTTTAAACAAAAGGTAAAGGTGCAGCAATGAAACTGCCTGCTCACGACACTGGTGGCAGGAGGGCCTCCACAAGAGGGAGCTCTCGGAAGCCCTTCGAGAGTGCACTTGGCCTACTCTTCCATGCATTCAGACGTGGCGAACCCATTGATGCTGCTGGATGGACAGTCTTCGGCACGGGGGATTTAAGAAACGCTTTGTTACAACTGCCACGCCACGAGTTTGAGTCGAACCAGTGACGACTGGACTGTGTGGTAACCATTACTCCACGACTCTGGTAATTAGCACTGTAATTTTGGGGAAATCATTTGAAAACAATACCGTGTTGTTTTTTTTAATTATCACCCAGTACTTGAGAACCGCCCTGCAGCACATGTTCTAGGAAATGCGATTAGCGCACAGCCTTGAGCGATAACAACTGTACGTAATGTAATGAGTCGTTGAAGAAATGCAAAATCGTGCTGAAAAAATCCCGCGATGCGCGGTAGGCGCCTTCCCATCGCACCGGGGGGGGCATCGCACTAGGGGGCATCACACCAGGGGGGGCATCGCACCGGGGGGGCATCGCACCAGGGGGGCATCTCACCAAGGTCCTTGTATTGAGCCGGTCCGATTGAACATTCCACGCAATTTTTATTATTACAATTACAATGATTACGCCCGTTTACCCGGGAGAACCTCGCTCGATCTCGATGCTGTTTTTCGAGGGAGAGTTTTGCTCTCCCCGAAAAAAAGTGTGCTGTTGCTGTAATTTGCTGACCCCGTGCCCATACCGCACATCTGTGAAAAAAGGAGCTTTATAGCTCATTGGATTCCCCCAGTCTAAATAAAGATTCCGACTCTGCCCAGTTTTCTTCATCGGGACGAGGTTGCTGCTGTGTCATCCTAATCGAGTAATTTTCCAGTTTTGGGATATTTGGGTCAATACCGGCTACTTTGTTTTGTTTTGCTTACTATGGGAGGTAACCGGAAAACCCAGAGAGAAGACGCATGCAGAACAGGGTGGGCGGGGGGGAGGGTGCAGAACATACAAACTCCACTCAGGAATCGTAACGAGGCGCTTCTCGTCGTGAGGCACGATGAGAAGCGCCACCACCATGGGGCCCCGCATCTGCTCTTGCACAACAACAACAACAACTATTCTCACCGCTCGAGCAGCCCTTGCTGGTGGTGCCGGGGTGAGCCGTGGCCACGGCGGCCACGGCGGCGGCACTGGGAGGGGTGGCAGAGCGAGACGCTGCGGGGGGCGTCTTCCCCTGGGGCCGTGAGGCCCGTCGGGGAGCATGGGGGCTACCGGTGCCCGAGGGACGATCCGACGCCGACGGTGCAGCCTCACCGGCAACGGTGTTGGCGTCTGATGGGGGTGGGCGGGGGGGGAGGGGGACACGAGCGTCGGACATCGAACTCTGATGTGCGGGTTCATGGCGCAGCACGCAAACTACAGTGCATCTAGACCATGAGAGTTTCTTGGTCTTTAGGGTTGCATGTTTTTTCTCTGAGTGTGGCTGAATAAACACGTTCCGTTGTTTGACAGGTGGTGCAAATGTAGAATGCCCATTATTTCTGTCTTAGGAAATACTATATATATAAAAAAGCATGATTATATTTTAATATTATTATTTCAATCCGAGTTTGGACAAAAGCGGAGCACTTTGGCGGGAAATGTAACGTTTTCTGCTCCAAAACTCAAACGAAATCTTTTGTGAGACGCACAAAGTGCTTCCAGTGACTTTGCACGCCACTGAAAGTGCCCGGAGGTCCCTTTTTAAAACCCTGGGCTCAGCTTTTGCCTGTCCTGCAGCCACCTCGGCTAATTTAATTGCTGAGCCTCCGTGAAACAATTTCCAAAGGAGGAATCTTAATCCTTAAGATCCTTTTTGAAGGGGGCACAGTTACAACATCCAAAGCATGTGGATTTATACAGCGTCTAGACACAAGTGACTCTTAAGTCGCCGGACTAAAACAGCGCGTGACGTGCACATTGCCTAGCGGAAGGTGAGATACATATAAAGCTATATATGTATCTACATATAAACAACACATATATAGTATGCATATCGTAGACAAGAGGCAGACAAGAGGCAGGCTCAGTCATAGGCAGAAGAGAGGAGGAAGGCATTGAGCCTGGACTTTAACAGGACCAGGGAGTCGACAGCACGGACGGCCGGGCGGCGGAGTACTGCATCGTGGGGGCAGCAAAGGCGAAGGAGCGACGTCCGAGCGGAGGTCGACCGGCGAGCCTCGACAGCAGGGCCCTCCGCTGCTGGATCGGAGTGCCCGTCACGAGGAGCCCGAGCGAGATGAAGGGAGGGGTGGGCGGCTGCCGCGCTCCAACTGCAGACACCCCCCCCCCCCCCCCGGCTTCGAGCGGCAAATGATCCCACCGCCCGGCCGGCAAGCCACTGCCCCAAAATGCGGCGCGGAAGCATTCCGTGAAGCCGCAAAGAAGCCATGAAGCCGCCGCCGCCGCCGCCGCCGCGAAGAAGCGGCGAATAAAAAGCGTCGAAGAAGCCGCCGCGAAGCCGCTCACCGGCAGGCGCTTCCAGCGGCGCGGCCGCCTCCGGCAGGCGCGGTGCCACGGCACGGTCGGCGCGCTCCCCGCCCGCCGCTGCCGCCCGTTTCCTCCGCGGGTCGCGCAGCCGCGTCACGCAGCTCAGCAGCTCCCAGGCGGCGCGCCAGGGGGGCACCATCCCTCCCCCTCCTCCCAGGCAGCGCCGGGCGCCCGCGGTCTTGGGCTGCTGCTGCTGCTGCTGCTGCTCCTGCTCACGGCTCATGCTCCCGGGGCCACGTGCAGTTTCGATCCTCTCTACGCGATGTACACAAGACAGATTTATGGAGGAGATATAATATTAATATTATACCGACTGCTTATTTACATCATTACTTTGCGATTCCCTTCCCCGTACCTCCGACTAGCACGGTTGGCTATGTACGGCGCGAAATAAGTTCAACGTACACACGTACATACGTACATACGTCGTGTGTAATCCGAATTGAGTAGCTTGAGTCACTGGTGTTTGCAGGTAGGGGGTGACGCTGGCTCTGGCTCGGATATGTTCCGTGATGGCAGCAGACACCGGCGGCTAGCGCGTTGGTCACTGTGGCTCAAGCAAGCAGCCGTTGATGTCTGCAAAGCGCCGCATAGCTTGCATGTTCACAGCACTGTCCCGTTGAGAGAAAATGCTGTGCCTCTACATTGTGAAGCCAGAAGTGAGTCTGCCTTCATCACGCGTGGTGTTTGAATCAAACAAATTTAAAGAACCCTCGAGCAGTTCGCTTTTGAATTCACGCAGTAATTTAATCGTAGGAATCTGGCGGATGCATTTTTAAGAGGCCGTGTGTGCGTTAAGGGTGTGGGAGGGGGGGGGACCAGGAAAATTAAACCCAATCAGGCGATGAGACATCACCACTGTCTCAAGGCTGTCCCCCACAGCGCCAAGAAAGCATCGCATTACAACGACGCTTACATGACCGCTGTTCTCATTACACTCCACGCTGTTTACCGAGCAAAGCCTCACAGAGGCTCGGCACTCTTTCTTATCAGGAGGGCATTCAAAGTAGGAGGCTGTTCTGCGTAATCCCAATTGAGTCGTTTTCAGGAAATTTTCTGGATCATACTTAGGGTTCCCGGTCACTGATTGCGTTTTGCTTTTGTCAGATAGCATTTTTTCGTTCCTTTTATTGCTGTTCATAAAACGGCGTAGTCGTTTTTTGTTGTTTGTTTGTTGTTGGCGTTGTCGACCGATTCCCCTTTCGCTGTGACGTGTGAGGCACGCGTACCGATACTCGCCGCCGTGCGTGTCGCGCCCCGATTTTGTCACCAACATCTGTGCTGTATCACATCTGTACCATCACAGGACGCCCATGAGATAATATTCTAGCAGCTCATTGGGCCCTTTCTGCCGAAACAAATCAAATCTATCTAAATCAATCTACAGTGTCTAATTTGAACTATGATTCCAGCGAGCTAACCGCAGACACACGCCCACTCACCCATTCGCTCACCAACTCACCACACTGCAGGTCACAAGAACACATACCCACTCACCCATTCGCTTACCCACTCACCACACTGCAAGTCACAAGAACACACAATCACTCACGCATTCGCTCACCCACTCACCACACTGCAGGTCACAATAACAGTCACTCGCTCACCCACTTTCTCACTCACTCACCACACTGCAGGTCACAATAACAGTCACTCGCTCACCCACTTTCTCACTCACTCACCACACTGCAGGTCACAATAACAGTCACTCGCTCACCCACTTTCTCACTCACTCACCACACTGCAGGTCACAAAACTTCTCCTACCGCTTCTTCCCTCGCACTGCTCCACTTAGGAATTCCCTCCTCCCATCACCGTCTCATTGTTTTACCAAGGGCTTGTAATAACCTTGCCCAATTCAAGAAACGTGTTGACTCTAAATCTTTTATAACTTTGATAGTGCCTACCGTGTGTTGCTGGCACAATTTGACGTTTTGGGTCACAGTTGCTGACCTGTGCTCAGCAACTGCATTAAAAAAAAATACCTGCTGTGAGCCGGAGTAAAAAAACTTTCCCCCGGACCACGAAGGAATGATCGTATAACAGCGAAAAATTGGAACACGTGTGGAATTGATTCTGAGGTATTTGTCGAATTAAGGGAGTATGGTACATGCCCTCGCAGGGAGGCACAGTCATTAATCTGCACACCAATGTAAGTCAGTGTTGGGTATCCCCACAGGATTGCTTCCAGCCATATACGAATGTGGAATTTCCACGCAATGGCTCGGGGCCACCAATGGAGATTAAGCGATGTGGCGAGCCCTCATTTCATGACGCGATATTAATACCTGAGGTTATATCGGAATTTTTGGACTTTGGGATCATTTACATCACGGCGTATGTTCACGACAGGCCGAGCGGTAGAGCGGCCGTAGAAGTTTGTGGCTCAAAGCCCTGCGGCCGCCCCGGTAAATACTGCAGGGCGTATTAACCGTAAAACGTCACGCGCCATCTGTTGCGCAGCGGACGTTCAAGATCCCGCGATGCTATTCAAAAACACAATTAGCCGTGCGTGTGCTGCCAACGTCACAGTCAAAATTTTCCAAATTTGAAAAGTCACAAAGCGAATTGAGAAACACGCGTGGCAATCGTCACCCCTCCCTCCTCCTGCAGAACCCAGCAGGACCCTCCTGAGAAGCTATTAAGACTCAGAGAGGCTTCTGTGGGTAAATAACTGGCATTAACCCGATCGATAAGTTATCCACCAATCTTTGTCCTCCAAATGCATTGGATCACTGGCATGAGCTACCGAAGCTGGCTTGTGTACAACGTGCGTCACACATCACAAGCTGCTCCTGCCACGCAGTCCTCTGCCCGCCGACCAGTGAAGACAGCGGGAGCGGTTGTTCAGTCTAGCATCACGTCATTTCACTGGGCGCTCATTGGCCGCACTTTCGGGCTGGCTATTGTTGCCAAGATATCAGGAATACCAAGTAACGTTCAAGGCAATGGAAACTGGCAGAGCCAAATGCTTTATTTCCCCAGCTATCCTGTTACAAAAAATGTAATAAAACGAAGGCCACGCAGCCAGTCAGACAACCTGCACATTATCAAGCAAACAACAAGGACGGCTACACAGGCCAAATAAGCGAGATGTATGGCACGACAGCCGAGCTGCAAGTCGACTCATGAACTGAATATATAGCTAATCAACCTGCCAAACGGCCAGCCAGCTTACCAACTAAGGCTGGGTTCATACCGTGCCACTTAGTGAAGTAACGTGTGACACTCACCCACGCATCGCTGAAGAGATCTCACGGAGGGGGGGGGGGGCGGTAAGGTCAGAGTGCCGCTACATCCGACAGGTTCACCTGACCCCCATCACACGTGACCCGTCGCTTGAATAACAGGTCACGTCGCCTGTTTGCACTGCCGGGTGGACAGAGGCAGCCTGGCTCTGGAATTTGATCAACTCGCCCGGCACTGTTCTCACCCGCCGCACCGGGAGGTCGAATCCAAGCGGCGACCTCCGGGTCGCGAGTCCGGCCCGGGCACCATCGCGCCGCGGTAGAATCCTCACCTAGAGCATACTGTATCGGACTGTACGCACAGTTTGAAAGCGCTTTGACGGATGAATGTGAAAACGGAAATGTCATCAATCTTCATCGCAACAGAAACCCAAGCAAACTCCGCATGTTTTACTTGCAGTGGGCTCGTGATTTGACGCGGTGACGTACGGATCAGTCAAGACCACTGTGGAGGCCTCTTTGAAAAGGGACACGCATGTTCTCCTCCTTTTAACCGGAGGGAGGAAAAATAAATGGTTTGCTGCGCACGCAATCTGCCAGTGCAATGTTTCCTGTGCTCTTCTTCACCTTGGGCTCAAACGTCTATTGCATTTGTTCGGCCAAAGTTAATATTGTCTCTGGTCCAGGGAAACCGCAAGTACGTGGCAGTCATGCATATAACCGCCTGCCCTAAATGCACGCGAACAGTATTCGCAGTATTGGTAGTGTTGGTAAATTAAATAGTATTCAGCGATTCTCATGGCTCTCGGTACAGATTTTTATCTTTAGTGGTCCATTCTTCCTGATATCCGATTTTAAACTCCTGCCACCGTTTGTTTACCCGTCGCCGGGTTTAAAGTGTTTATATGCAGTGGCTCTGTTCGCCTCTCCATCCGTGACAGGCACGAGGCTCCATGATAGCGCTCGTGATGATGAGCCGACGTGAACAAGGATTCAGTCTGAAGCCGAGCCACTACTCGGGACCCGCGCCCTGGAGAAAAATCAGTCGAACCACGGCACAAAAAAAAAACACACTGCAAAATGTACGCTTGATCCGAGTAGCAAACGCCTGTCCCATATATACCCACGCGAGCTTAAAAAAATATACACATCCATTGTGCAAAGTCAAGGTTGGCGTGATTGTGTAAATACAATGCAGACGCCTCCCCCAGGGTATTCAAGACTTTACACACAATGCAGAAGCTAAAGGTGCAACCCTGCGATTGCTTCCTCACCCCACTGCTGGGGGACAGCCCTTCCTCGATTAGAGGGCTTATTTTGGTCTACTCTTCCATGCTGCCCGGATGTCTTTGAGGTTGGCGTAACCCCCTACACGTTTTACCCCACGATTATCTTGAAAAAATTTTTCCCAAATAAAACCTTGTGACTATACTTCACATTTTCAACTGCTGTGCACACAACTAAGAGCTTGCAATGTCTTTATAACCGTTACAAGTGTACACGCTATAACGCCTGTAATGCACACGCCATTAGTTAGATAAAAAAATAGTTTAAATCATCTCGTATCAATGCCGTGTCGTAAATCACTCGAATAAAACTTTTGGAAAAGCACTCATTTAATTGGATAATGGTGTAGAGAAGATTGCAGCTAATTATTGACAACATTACTTTATGAGATGGTGGTGCTAGTGGCATTGGTTATGTTGAGGATGGTGGGAAAAGGTGGTAAGTGGTATTAGAGGTGATACTGGTGATTGTGATGTTGGTGGTGATGGTGGTGTTGGTGATGATGGCATGTTGGTGGTGATGGTGGTGCTGGTAATGAGCATGTGATGTTGGTGATAGTGGTGCTCGTGATGAGGGTGGTGATATTGGTGATGGTGGTGCTGATGATGAGGGTGGTGATGTTGGTGCCCCAACAGTCTGTTTAGGTTAAATGCGGGATCTGTCTTTGATGTTGAATGGGAAGTGGTGGTGTAGTGGTTAGCGTGCTGCGCTACGAACCCGGCGCTCAGAGTTCGATTCCCGCTCACGGCCACCACCAGTGACGATTATCTGAACCGGTCCTGGGCCTCTACTAGGTCGACTCAGCCTCAAATGAGTACCTGGTGCAGTGTGTAAACATCGCCACTGGGGAGACAAAGGCGTCCGGGCGTGGTGCTGACCACCCACCCCCTTGTGTGCCGCGACAGCCTTCATAGGCGCTCGCTTACGGCACTTGCCCCAACAGTCTGTTAAGGCTATACGGCGGATCTTTGTCTTTGATGTTGGTAGAATAATGTTGTTCGTGTTAATGATATTGTAGTTAATGGTGGTGATTGTGGTGATTTTGTATCGGTGATGTTGGTGATGGTGGTGACGCACCATGTGCCAATTTGTCACCATCGCTACCACGTCGGTCGTCTTAAAATATTTCCCTTTGACCCCGACGCTCCCATTGGTGGCAGCAGGCTTTGCCTTCTTAGCGCTGGCGAGTACACCATTTTCCATTTTGGCGAAGAACGCCCACATTCAAATGTTTTCCTTCTCCCGGGTGATTTCGGAAATTCACTGGGGAACATTTTTTTTCACTCGAGAGCCACAATGACGACCGTTATTCAGCTGAAAATTCCCCCAAAACAAAACGGGCCACTGTGTGCGCGAGGGCACGTGGCTGCCGTGCGCGTGCTCATCTGGCCGATTACTCGCTCGCTCGCTCGAAAACGTGCGCACGGCCTCTTTGTCAATACGCTGCTGGAAGGAAGGATTCCTCGTGTTGTGCCAGTCACGGGGGTTGTTTTGACCATACTTCGCCACGCAGCTGTGGCGGGGAAATCAAACTCGGGCGGCACCGCTCCACCGCATCCACGTCCCCATGTCAGGGGCCACTTCGTCCGGAGGACAACCGCTAATGACTTCCCCTGAAGTGGTACTTATTTTATCGAGGTATGACGAGAATGAGTCAACAAAAACGACCGGATTTATGTACTCGCGACCTTCCACTCGGGCAATCGAGCACTTTCCCTCAAAGGGCAACTCGCATGAGAATGAGAGGCCAGGGATGTTTTTTTTTTACCCCACCTTGTTAAACATCCCAAAGGTTAATGGTTCTGTTTTCTTCTGGTGCGGGGGGGGGGGGGGGGTTGAGGAAAGGATAAGAAATGATCTCATTCCATTTAATTCACCATCACTGAAGAGCCACGTGACATGCGCAAGGCACGCACACACAGTCACAGGTTGAAGAAACTCACACGGTGTATCCTGCAAAAGCAGCCTGTGACCAAATCACCGAGTGTGCCCGATCTCGTCACACCTCGCAAGCCAAGCAGGCGTTGAGCCTGGACGGTGCCTGC